GTAGCCGCTGGTCTGTGGTGTTGTGGCGTGGGGGGGGGGGGGGGCAAGACTGGGAGGGCTTCTGGAGTTCTGGCCCCGCTGCTGGACCTCCTGATGGCCTGCGCCTTGGTACCAGTCCCCTCCTCTGTACTCTGGGAGAACACGGTCCTACCTTTCAGTTTTAGTGTAAAGGATGGAGTGTTTTAAGCACTCAGGATAAAACATGACATGAAAATACAATAGGTTCAGGTGGGTAGCTGTGTTGGTTTGAAGTAACGGAACAAAATTCGAGTCCAGGGGCACCTTTAAGACCAACGAAGTTTTATTCAAGGTATAAGCTTTTGTGTGCACCGCGTATGTATCTGAAGAAGTGTGCGTGTACACGAAAGCTTATACCTTGAATAAAACTTTGTTGGTATTAAAGATGCCACGGGACTTGAATTTCGTTAGGAAAATACAAGCTGGATTTTTTGAGCACCATGAAATCTATGTATTTTTGTCCGCTGCTACAATGGAATAGTTACAACCTTTCCTCTCATGCAGAGGTGGAAATCCCCTTCTTCGTGCACAGAGAACCCTTCAAATCCTCGATTAACAAGTTAAAAAGCACACAGAGAATGCGATGATGTTCTCACACTACCTTCAACACGATCTTTTTCATTTCTTCATCAGGAGACTGGAACTCTCTGATAAGGATCAACATGACTTCTCTGGTATAGTAATTGGCATACTCGGCATCCATCAATGGAATCAGATAGCCAATGGCTTTCAAAAAGGCAGCCAGGCCCTATCAAGACAGAAGGTCGCGATTAACTTGAAGAATGACATCCAAACAGCTCCTCCAAAAGAAACAAATGAATAACAGAGAGCAAATGGGAGAGGCCATGGACTTACCTTCCCCCTGTGTTGACGAATACCCTTCCACAGGGGCTTCAGGACAGAGTCAAACGATTCTATGCCGTACGGAGTGGCTGCCTCGGCCAAAGCGGCAATAGCCAAAGCACTGATGGTGCGAACTTTCTGCTGCTCGTCCACCAAGCCTGAAAAACAAATACGACGTTCACTGCACCTTTCGGGACCCAAGGAGAGAATCAACAGCTGTGATGGAACCAGTGTTCCCTCGAAGCTGAGTTAGTGTGAGCTAACTCAGTTTTTTAGCCTCTGGCTCACACATTTTTGTCTTAGCTCAAGAAGGGTGGCTCCAGAGCAAACTAATTTATGCAATAGCCAAATCTCTTGCTCACAACTTTAATGACAGTAGCTCACAAAGTAGAATTTTCACTCACAAGACTCCACAGCTTAGATGGAACACTGGATGGAACTACAGAAAGAGCTGGTAAAAGTACAGAGGAGGGCGACCAAGACGAGGAGGGGGTTGGAGCCCCTTCCCTAGGAGGAAAGGCTGACTAGTCTGGGACTTTACAGTTTGGAAGAGAGATGGGTGGGGGGGGGGGGACACGATAGATGTTTATACAATTATGCATGGAGTGGAGAGAGTTCACAAAGGAAACTTTCTCTCTCTCTCTCTCCCAAAATACTAGAATTCGAGGGCATCCAATGAAGCTGATGGGCAGTAAATTCAGGACAGACAAAAGGAAATATTACTTTACACAGGGAGTGATTAAAATGTGGAATTCGCTGCCAGAGGATGTACTGGTGGCCACAGGAACACACAGCTTTCAAAGGGGGTGAGATAGATTCATGGAGGACAAATCTATCAGTGGCTAGAAGTCCTGGTGGCTGAGGGGAACCTCCACATTCAGAGGCACTAACCCTCTGACTCCCAGAGCCAGGAGGCAATGTCAGGGGAAGGCCTCGGCCTCTCTGCCTTGTTGTTGGCCCTCCAGAGGAACTGGTTGGCCCCTGTGTGAGACGGAATGCTGGACTAGGTGGACCCTCACTGGTCTGATCCAGCAGGGCCCTTCTGAGGCCCTTATCAGGGGAAGGCTTTGGCCTCTCTGCCTTGTTGTTGGCCCTCCAGAAGAACTGGTTGGCCCACTGTGTGAGACGGGATGCTGGACTAGGTGGACCTTCACTGGTCTGATTCAGAAGGGCTCTTCTGAGGTTCCTATGGAATTAACTGAAATCAGCATATTCCCTTTCCTTCCTTCTCCAACAGTTACTTTTGGTGCTGCCTTGATGTACGTTTAAATATTTCTGGATCACCAAGAGCACCTAATGCCACTTTGAAGAATGCCCCAATGGTCAAGTCAAGAAGGACACCACCCCTTTTGAGCGTGTGGCACTGCATTGCCGTCTCACTTTGGAGTGGTTAGAGTTAGGGTCCGTGGCTCAGTGTGACCTTGACTACACCCCAGCTTCCTACTCCTGTACAGAAATGACACTCTGCTCTGCCATCCATAGCACCAGGTGGCCCACAAGTGTTATATGTTCCGAGTCACCTGGATGAAAACTAAATTGCCTCCAAATGCAGCACTGAGGGATCGACTTCACCATGAAGCGCACTCACTGTCAACATGGGCACCTGTAGCAAACCAGAGTATTTCAGGCAGTCCCCATTCAGATTTCTTCTAAGTTGACAAACATTTATCAGGGATGCTCTAGGCCAAGGGTGTCAAACTCATTTGCTATGAGGGCCGGATCTGACATAAATGAGACCTTACTGGGCTGGGCCGTGTGTGTCATAAAATGTCATGCCAGGTAGTGGAAATATAAACTTCATAAAGGACACAAACACAAAGGGTTGTTTTTTCAACTTAAAATAAAAACATGCCTGAAACATCAGCACTCTTGCAATATTTTGTTTATTTAACAGTGTCTGATAACTGACACCTCCTGCTCTGAATTATTCCATCGAAATGTCTGTGCTGTTGCAATCTTATGCTATTCAGCTGTGTATCTGTAAGAGGAGCAGCAGCAGCAGAACTGGAAGAAGAAGCAGGAGACAGCCAGTTCCACTGTGGGCCTGATCCGGCCCCCGGGCCACATGTTTGACACCCCTGCTCTAGGCTGATCCTGCATTGAGCAGGGGGCTGGACTAGATGGCCTGTCTGGCCCCTTCCGACTCTGTGGTTCAAGGATTCTATCAAAGGGAGCAGAAGCCGCCTACCGTGCTCAATGATCTCCACCAGACTCCGGAGGTGAGGCAAGATGGCGCAGCCCATCAGGATGGCGATCTGCTGGACAATCTTGATGCCGGTGTGCCTGGCCTGCCAGGACTTCTTGCTCTTGCACACCGCTTTCAAGAAGGGCAGCAGAGAAGGAATGCCCAGAGCGGAGGCCACAACCGCAAAGGCGCGAGCTGTCGTGTTACGCACGTATTCATCCATGTTGTCGATATCGGGTCGCATGGTGGAGATCATCGTCGCCAGACCGGCCGCCTGGAAGACAAAAAAGGAGGGGCCGGTCGAGTCGCTGCCGACGTGAACGCCGAAGGGGGGGCCCCCTCCGGGGAAGCCCTCCAGCAATAACGGCACTCGTGGAAGGGGGACAATGTTTACCAGCTTCTCCCTCCCATCTGCAGGCCCCCACTTTGCCCCCCCTTCCTTTTAAAGGCCCCCCCCCCCCCCCGGTCTCCAAAACGCAGCTCAAAAGGAGCTCAAGGGGGTGCAGAGCCAAGGTGGGTGTGTGCACGTCCCATTCCAGCAGCAGAGCTCCACTGATGGTGCTTTGGACCGAACCCTGAATTTTTAAAAACCCTGCGTTCCCAAGAGACTGTTGCGCCTCTCCATGGCCAGAACACTTCATTTTTTTAAAAAGGACGTTTTATAGTTTGAGTTTAGCGTCCGAGGCAAAAAAGCCCACTGATCGTAGCAAACACTACCCGTGCAACTCGTGGCTTGCCAAAAGCGCTGCTCTGAGCCGCTCCCAACTTGTTAGGAAAGAAAAGCATTGCTCGTTACCTTAGCCAAGTTAGAAATGATCTCTCTGCCTTCTACTCTGGCGTAGTAGTCTTCATCAATCAGCAGGGGCTCAATGACCACAAGAATCTGAAAGGGGTTTATAAGGAGGATGAAAATTACACAAACGGAGCCTTTAAGCTGGTGTTAAAATTCAGACAGTCCTATATGCAAAAATGAATGAACTGATTCAAACTAAGGCTTCCACATGCTTGTTAGTTTCACAGGGACAAAAACCCCCCTTTCTTCTTCCCTCTAACTCCCTCCCTACCATAATTTCTAGCTACCTTTTTACTCAGATATCCAAGTCTAGGGATGGCACGAACCGTATCTTTGTGGTTTGGTACGAACCACAAACCCTTAAGAACCAGGAGACTGGTTCACAAACTGACCCTGCTCGTATCATTTCATGAGCCATTTAAAGTTTTAACCCCTGCTTTCTGCTCCCCATAGCTTTTCACAGGGAGCAGAGGTTTAAACGGCTCCCTGCCACTCGTCTGGTTTTTGTGAAGAGTAGAAAAACCCTGCTTTCTGTCTTCACAACCTGCATCAAAATCTGTGGAAGTTCAGGGCGGTCACAAACAGTGTTCCCACTAAGCTGAGTTAGTGTGAGCTAGCTCACAGTTTTTTAGCCTCTGGCTCACACATTTTTGTCTCAGCTCAGGAAGGATGGCTCCAGAGCAAACTAATTTATGCAGCGGCCAAATCGCTCGCTCACAACTTTAATGCCAGTAGCTCACAAAGTTGAATTTTTGCTCACAAGACTCCACAGCTTAGAGGGAACATTGGTCACGAACCGTGAACCGGCCGAAATTTGTGACAAACTGTAGCTCGTCAGCCGTTTCATACCCATCCCTATCCAAGACAGGACACTGAGGAAGACAGTATTTGCAAATCAATCAATCATTTATTATGGTCACAAACCAGGAGAATAAAATATATATTAACAGCATGGTTATAAGAATCTACTCTTCCATTAAGCTATACATAAAAAAAGCAAATTACATGTAACTTTTTGCAAGTCGTAATGGTTCCTACAAATGTAAGAAAATGCTAGAGGGGATTTAGTTAACACTGAAATTCAAAATGAACATACACATTTTTATGCCATACCCATGAGAGAAGTCTGAATAGTCAAAGGTTGTTAATGTGCTGTTCTACATTCACAACTGTGCACCGAATACAGCTATGAATATTCATATCTATGAACATACACAACACCATAGAAACACAAGGACATATGTTATTATGAAGCGAAGGTGTGCCTACCACGGTCTTCTCCAAGAAAAACACCAGGTAAACTATTCACCTCTCTGCCACTTAAAGCCAAGTTTCAGCAAAACAAACCTTATGCACGTAGGGTCGGACCAAGTCATCCAGTTTGTACAAGATCCTATCAATAACTTTGACAAGCAAATGGCGTTCTTGATCTTCAAGTGTCGGTGACATCAGCAGGGGCAAAATCTGATTAAAGAGGGGTCCTGCTCCAAATTCACGCGCTTTATCGGTAATCTGCCGCAGAGCAGCCTATGGAAACAGAATGACATGTGGGGTAGAATTAAAAATAGCAGGTCCAAGTGCCTGCATGGAAAGAACAACTCTCACAACATTTAACGAGGCAAGGTAGGATAACAACAACCGTCACGGCTTGAACTAAAAACAACAGCATCTTTACCGAGTCATTGTTTTACAGCTGTAGTAAAACAAAAGCTGGCTCTGAAATGAATTTATATATAAAATTAACAGCAGAGGGATCCTTCCATCTTCAGGAGGGAGCCGAAGATTATTTTATTTAGGATAGCATTTGATTCATCTAGTTTTTCTATTTACTGGCTGCCTTAAATTGTGATTTTCAAATTGTGGCGTTTTGTGTATTCTTGCTTTGTTTACATCGTAAACTGCCAGTTCTGTAAGGTAGGAAGGTGGCTGGTAAATGCTTCCAATAAATAAATAGTTTACAGGGAAAGTCAAAGCAAGATAAAGTATCACAGAAAAGACAATCCCGAGGTACCGAAGCGGTCTACCATACCTTCCTCATCGGCGGGGTGCCGTTCTTAATCTTCAAAAGCAGTTTCATGATTTTTCTCTCTTTCTGCTCTTCCGGACTCAGCGTTGATTCGTCGACATCGACCTGCAATTGATTAAGAGCACGGTGGTTAAAGCCCGCCTGCATCAAGCCCTGCCCAACGCAAGAGGATGACGCTGCCAAATCAGAAAACGTACCAGCAGTTTGTCGAAGTACTGGATGTCGTCTGGCTTCAGGAAAGGCAGATTCCCGGAGGGCTGGTCGTTGACACTCTTCATGGTCCTGTCTTCGGTCTGCATGTGGAAACCCGTCATTCCCCCCAGGGGTGTGGGTGTGGCTGTAAGTTTACGAGCCGGGGTACGAATAGGGACGTAACCAGCCGGAGGAGGGAGAACCTAACAGAAAGCGAGAGTTAGAACAAGTTAGGAGAGATCAAAATGTTTCAGGAGTTAAGTAACTGCCTTTGAAACACAAAAGGCTTTACAGCTTAGCCAATAAATCTTGTTGCCCCCTGAACTTTGAGATACCCCTTACTGTAGGCCGAATGGCCCCATATCCATCTGGTATACAAGCACTGCAACAGCACAGAGCCTTTTCTCTAGCAAGATTCAATGTAATACCAGCTTCTCCCTCCCTCAGCAATCTTGCATGGGAGACATAACAACATAGTATGTGCGGATAGACTTTGCCACTGCAATTCTGGATGTATTGAAACTGTTTCGCATATTTGTTTGCATTGTCAATTTTACGTGGTTTTACGTGCTAGATATTTAAATCCTATCTTAGCCAACATGACAAACCTTCCTGATACTTTAAAAGTGCGCCGGCTTTTAAATGACTCTGTTCCGGAAGTATCAATGAACGCAGCCATGTTTTTACACTCAGCGATAAAGCTACGGCAGGAAAACTTCCAATGAGTAATTGTTTTATGCTACCATGTTTTATATGTCTGGCTATACGTGGTTTTAAATGCATATTTCTTCTTATAGTAATCCTTTTTAAGGTGTTTTATGCCAATAAAGGTCAACTGAACTGAACTGAACAGACTGCCACGAAGGAGTCAGAGTGAAGTTCAGTTGGCAGGAAACATCTACTGCCTGCTTCCACCCCATCTAGGGGCACCCTGCCTCCTGACTGAGCAGTACCCCTTCTGCTCAGGAAAGCATTCTGGGTCAGATCCAGCACAAGGCCCACGGCAAGGATCCTGGATCTGCCCTGGCTATCTGCTGCCTACAGTGGCTACTTCTGACCCCCAGGGAAAATTCATTCTTGGGGTTACAGGACCTGTGTAGGGTAACAGCCACACAGGTCAGGAGACCGCAGCAGGGAAGGGGAAGAGGCCAGAAACTGGCTACTTCCTCCTCTTCTGTTTCCAGCCATTAAAAAGAAAAATGAAGGAAATCAAACATTTCAGTGGGCTACCGGAGGTTCCTTGAGTGAGTCTAAGCAACTATTTGGATCCCAGCCTACCTCTGAAACATAAGAACGTAAGAAGAGCCCTGCTGGATCAGACCAGTGGGTCCATCTAGTCCAGCCTCCCGTCTCACACAGTGGCCAACCAGTTCCTCTGGAGGGCCAGCAACAGGGCAGAGAGGCTGAGGCCTTCCCCTGAGAAGAACCTCAGAAGAGCCCTGCTGGATCAGACCAGGGAGGGTCCCTCTAGTCCAGCCTCTTGACTCACACAGTGGCCAACCAGTTCCTTTGGAGGGCCAACAACAGGGCAGAGAGGCCGAGGCCTTCCCCTGAGAAGAAC